ATTTAGCCGAAAAAATGTGTCGTAGACTACCACTAGTATCGGGACATGAAATGGCCGTCGATTTGGAGTCTCGCATCTCCCAAAACTGCCCGGATCTGGCATCAGTTGCGCGCAGGTGTAGTCAGCATACCGGGCTGGCACAACTTGGGCACAACGATTGCCAGACGCAAAAGATCATACTTCCTCATATACATGAGTACATTCAATACCTTGAGACTTCCTCGCGAGATCAAACCAAGGTATACGGCGGCAACGACTCCGACGACCAGCGGCTCCAGCGCCGAGAGTTCCGGGCCGGTGTTGGCTGTGGTGCCGTCGAGGGAGGAAGTTGCAGGGTCGGATGCCGCTGCGGCACAGTGCCCCGACTCGATTCCGCAGCGACTTTTGCATTTACTTTGCTTACGCGGGACCGGTGCTCGCCGGCAAGCTCGCTGGCGGGCCATGTGCGGCGCTTCCGAGTCGGCAAGGGGCTGGCAAGGGCACTAGTGTATAGACCGTCCGTCACGCTTTGGATCGAGGGCCCGGCCTGGTGGTCATACGCCGTGGGGAGGAGGCGCGACATCTCACGGGTCCGTCGGCGCAGGATCGACAGGTAGTAGCACAGCGCGCTCAGGATCACGAACCCAGCCGCGATGCCGCCAATGAAGAACAGGGGACCGGTAACGGCCCAAGACTGTAGCCGGGTTGGCTCCCCGTGGCAATGCTCGCCGCGGCAAGGCGCATCGTCTCCACTGAAAACTAATATAAACGGGGCCACCAGAAATTGGCGCTTCACCGCTAGAAGCGCCAATCTGTCACGCTTGGAGCGCCACTTCGTGACGTGTGAAGCGCCAAAACTGTGACATGAGGTGACACTCTGAAATTGCGCACATCAACTGGGACTGATGAGAAATAGATGGACACAAATAAGCCAATCTCTTTCTTTACCACTGAATTAGTGGCTCAGATATATAAAGATGCCTAGCTAGCATAGCTACATGTGGTTTGCATCCCGATATACGTTGTAATAATGGCAGAACTTAACGAAGTCCCTGTTCCTTCGTTGACTTAGAATTGAAGTGTAGGTCTTACTAGACACAATTTAGGCTGAAGCCTGTGCACAAACAACCAACCTGGTCTCATACTATCCATCTATACACATTTCCTCTTTGTCATAAATTTTGCACTTGGTGCATTGTAACGCTGCAGCGCCAAAGTGTGACTTACATGTCACCTGCAGCGCCAGATGTGTGACACATGCAGCGTCAAGTCTGTGTCACCTGCAGCGCCAGATGTGTGACACATGCAGCGTCAAGTCTGTGACGTGAAGCGCCAATGCAGCGTCACAGCAGCGCCAGTGCGACAGGACTGCAGCGCCAGCCTGACGTGACTGCAGCGCCGGTATCACATCTTGCTGTGCCAACCTTACGTGGTGCAGCGCCAACATATGGCTATACTTATAAGTGATGTTCATTCACTGGCATCGGACAGCCAACTTGAAAGAGGTCAGAAAACGAGAGGACAGGAGATATATCATGGAAATTTTCAGTGGCTACACAAACAAATTCTCCAACCAAGCTGTGGCCTAGCGCTACCCAGGGGCTGGAAGCTTCAACTTGAAATTTGGCGACAGGAATTATTAGATACCATTAGAAGGGGGTGGTTCGCGGGATGAGGCGGTAGCGTGAGTGGCTGCAGCCCATCACAATCGCGAAGTCGACGGTGTTGATGAGGTATTCTGCCAGAAGACAAGTCACAGAGAGGGGCAGAGAAGATGGCGATGCACCGACAAGGGCCCGGGGTGGCTTAAGTCGGATGTCGATGAGCTGACTCATCGCGGGCGAGTGGCGCGCGGGGTCCACGAGCGACGCCGCATGTGGCTGCGACGCAGCGACTGGCTGCGGCGCGGGTCCCGGATCCACCGCCCCACCCTACTAGTAGTCACCGCCGTCGCCGATCGACGCCAACCACGCTGGGTATACCGCTGCTGTTGCCGACAATGTCCACGGCAGTTTTCGCCAATGATAAACCTGTCTGCAATCATCAAGGGAAGTGGCCGTCGCAATCAACATCTTCGGAGGGCTCGTCCTGAACGGGCACACCCTCGCGCAACGAAGTGCCGGACAGGTTCCTGAGTGCGACGTTTTCGTTCCCGCACGACGCGTGTACGCCGCATCCGGCCGGCTTGTGACAGGCATGAAGCTCAAATATGCATTGGAAAGTACGGGCTGGCAGTGGACAGTCTTGCTAGGTATGGCTGGAATGACATCCAGATCGTGAGAGGCGCTCGGCGCTGTCTTACTAGTGAACAACAAGACAACGAGCGGCATGAAGCTCACCGCGTAGTACCTCCTACACGCTGGAGAGGTCGGTCCGCGCCAACGGGGGCAGCTGCACCCTCGAGATCGGTGGAGAGAGCACCGTGTACATCGCCGGCCAGATCCCCGGCGCCCAGACGACCCTGCCCGTGACGGAGATCGTTCCCAAACGCGCTCGAAGCGACGTTCAGAGTAGCTCTGGTGTTACATGTGCTGCGCGCAGAAATGTCGACAGCTCTTCATCCATATTGGAAATGCATTGCTAGCAATTGATATCCCTCACGGAGCGCCAGCGGTGTCGCCCGACAGACGGCATTGAAACAGTGCTCCGAGCGCGACGGCTCACGTTGACCGTAAGGTCACGCCTAGACGTTTGCAGTCTATGGCTGCCAAGCCCGGAGATATACTATCGACTTGCCAAGAGTGGGGCCGACGAGCAGTGCAGCAGTCGTCAACGCAGAGAAGTCGATGGTGCAGGAGCAGTAGGACAGCAGCCAGAAAAGCACAGAGGTGGGCGTAATTCGAACCCCACGGAAAGCGGCGGTGTGTCCGAGTACGCAACTGCACTTCATTCAATCCAGTCGCTGACAAAAGAACACAAGGCTGCGGCTGAGGCCCGACGCAAGCGTATAGCGAGAGGCCGTAGTCCTATGCCTGATGCACTCTGGTGAATGCAATGTTGCTGGCGGGGGGGCTGCACACAGAAGACACGAGCATGACGCGGCCGCCGGGATAGATGGTGGATTGAAGTCAAGAGTGGTGACATCAATCTGATGGGTGCGCCAAGATGTCGTAATGCAGCGCCAAGTGCGGGGATTATGCGGTGATGCAGCGCCAAAAGAAGCGCCAGATGCGGTGAATCGCCAATTTATGGTGGCCCATATAAACGTGAACGAATGAACTTCAATGGAGTGCGGAGAGGGAAAAACGAACCCAGAGTACCATGCGTAGCAGCAGCCGGCGCCGCCGCCCAGGGTAGGGTCCAAGAAACCGAATCGAAGTTGACTGTGTTAAGGTAAGAATGTGAACTTGAAATGGAACGTAAAACGATGCCACCCCCTGGTGTCCGCCGAGTCCAGTGATGATGAAGTTAAAGCGGTTTTCAAATGGCTCGTTGCACGGGCGGTGGGCATGAATCCAGAGCCTGCCACCGGGAATATGGTCGGAGGAAGTGTCGGCCCGGGCTTCGACTGCTGAGCAAATGATGCGGCCGGTGACGCTGATCGTGTTCGCCATTGATGAATGTACCCACAGAAGTGATGAACATACCAGCCTGAGTCAAAGTGCCAGTGATTGAGTCGGACCCTGTGACGATTTGACCTCCTACGTTGCTGAGATCGTGCGACGAGGTCGCCGCGGAGCGAGTACTGTCTGGCGTGGTGACGACAACTTGAAAAATAGTACTCTGCGACGAGTCGGGGTGTCTGCTGTGCGGTGGTACCCCGGCGCGCATAACCACTCAGTGGGCAGCTGGCCGTAAGGTAGACGAGAGGTGGGTAAAGATATGAGGGTAGTGCGCACTGTGCAACACCCTATATACTTAGCGGAATGGTGCGTAGACATGTTGAATACGGCATATCTTCAAGACTGCATGCCAGTGGCCCGTTTGCTTCGGTTCCGTGGAATCCGTCAGGCCACACCAAAGCTTCGACAACGAGGGGAAATCACAGCCGTGGCGCAGCCCGACCGCAAAAGATACCGCGTCAGCCACAAGCAGGACGAAGATGGAACCAGTGAACCACATACCTCCTTTTCAAGTTGTGCCCTCTATCAAGCCGCAGGTCGGAGTCTAGCGAGTCCCAGCATGGCCATATGTATGTAGGATAGGAGTTATATGCCAGCTGAATGTGTGATGCACCTTCACCAATGTCATATGCATGCATGAAACCAGTTTTTCACCAGCAATGCTGATTTGGAGATCAATATTAGCTGATCAAGATGAATTACCGAGTTGACGCTGCGACGCACCAACTCATGATACTGAGACATCAGCCTGAGATGCGTTGGTCTAGCTCTTCAGGTGTCTTCCTCTGGCCATAGTTGAAACTCCACATGGCTCAAACAAAGCATGGCCGCTCTAGGAAGTTTTCATCACAATTCAAGTTAGAGTGGGTATGAAACACTGACTGTTTACTAGGACGACGCACCCAGCCGTGGTCGATAACGAACTCTCCTCCATCGGAAGCTTCAGAACTAGCCTCCGTCAGTAGTTTTCCGTAGTTTTCCTTAGGTAGAAGCACAAAAACACACCGGTCGTACTACTAGTATCACATGCGCAGCGCGAAGATGACTTCAACGTAGTTGAGCTGTAGCGGCCGCAGACACGCCTTCGTGCCCTCAATCACGCTGTTGCTAGTCGGAGATGAAGGAAGGACAGAAAGGCGGCGCACTGCTTGCACGATAGCTCCGTGGCCTTCGGGCGCAACGGGCTCGTGGCGCCAGAATATCTTGGTCGAGATTACGAGGTCCGTGCGGCACCAGCCAAGTTCCGTGATTGCGCGTCCAGCGTCAGCAGAGGGAGGCAGCACATCTCTCGCTTGGCCTCTCCCTTCTGTAGTCTTCTGCGCTGTCAGACATATTACAAGGGCTGCCAGCATGATCCAGCCTGCGACAGTGAGACTAGTTGCGAAAGAAGGGAGGTCATTGAATACACTGCGTAGCCCGTTTGCTTCGGTTCCGTGGAGATCGTCAGGCAAGCGCACGATGGAGCTCGAACAACAAAAGTAAGCGTCGTCGACCGAAGTGGTGGCAGGAATCAAGCCGGTGTAAGCACGTGCACCAGCATCAACCCCACTTTCTTCTCCCGTCATGTCCTTCCACCGCGCTCAGCTGCTACACATCGTCCCGCCCAAACCACCTTTGCAACAGACGACCAAATCGCCTTAGACGGCATCACTGCGTGCCACGTCATCGGCGGCGTCATTGACCCCGCAAGCAGGAAAGCGGGCAGCGGATCCGGAGTAACCGGCTCAGAGGGCTCTTCTTCTTGTGCAGCGCTGGGAGGCAGACGTTCAGGTGGAGCTCTATTCAAAAAGCAGGATGTCGGGTGGGCTGGTAAAAGAGAGGGACGACGGGTGCGTTTTTTATGCTCTTCCCGCGTTACGTCTGTCTCACTCTTTCCCCGTAGCTCTTAGATGTGCTCAGCACACCCGCGGGCCCGCCTTTCACCGTGGAAACCCCAAGGCATCCATCGTTCGGCGGGGTATGTCTTGTCTCCCCCCGACTGTCATGCCCACAACCCCGATCGCAGTAGGAACTCCCCTTGCTCCGGCACTTTACCGTCGTTGGAGGCACACAACTGCCACGGACGTGCCCCCGCACCTCAAGATTCGAGCTCTTGTGGCTGGGCCCCATCGAGCGAGCCTGGGTACCATGCGCATGCGACTCCATCTCGAGCCAACGCGACGGTCTTAGCGGGTCAAGCTCGTTACTCGACATCGTCAATTCTCAGCTGGGCATGCCCAAACCCATCCGTCCCCCACTCCTTCGAAGAAAACCAAGGACATAACCCTTGTTCTTTCGCCATCCGCGTTGCTCCCTCTCGACTCCCCACAAATCTATCGCCTCCAGCCCGCGAGCTCTCGAAATTATTTGATTTGCAAGGTTTTGGGTTCTTTCAACGAGCAGCGCGACGGAGGGCAAGCTGCGTGCGTTCAAGCAAGCCTCTTTTCGAGTCGGTCTGACAAATCTGGCTTTCCTTCTGGTGCAAGTCACGCTTAGAATTCAGCTGCAGCTACTTCCGCATATCCTCGCCAACAAGCGCGACTTGACCCGCGGCCGTGCTCTCGTTCACACACGGAGCCTCCAAGAAGAAGAGAAAAAGAAAGAAAAAAACAAGCGCATGCAGCGTATAACGGTGTGTGTTTGTCGTTCTAGCCCACTCCTCATAGTAAATCTCGGCATCTAGGTCTTTGTCGCCAGAAACTCCCAAGCGACCTTCTCGTCGTCCGCTTCTCGATAAACGTGAAAACGAGCACCATTGCCTTCGACTAGCCGCCCAGCATGTACACCTCCGCCTATTATAAACTCATCCACACTTCCCAATCCACCGCCCACTGCGGCACTCTCCACCAACGCGCCATACGAACGACTTTTCTTCCTCGAAAATTTCGACACAGCCACCTGTCACGTGTGACGACGTCACTCTTCTCGAAGGCGATATACAGCTCTTCGCCCTCTGGCCTTGGGCCTCTATCGACCGTACTTCCATCGGATACGCTGCCGATATGACACGCTTAATTCCTTTGGACCCGATACGATTGGTGCAAGGCTCCCGCCGGACGCCATTTCGTTTGCGTCTCGACTTCGTCATGGGGGACATGGTGGATTTGGAAGTGGGCCCTGGGCCGAATTGGACGTGCGCGGGTGGTGCCTCGGAGGGCTGGCTTCGGAGTCCCGGATCGTGATGCTCGCCATCGTCGTCGCGACTAACGGCGACAACAGGGCTACATGTGCCCCCAATACCTCTGGCAACTGCCCATCTACCCGTCGTTGCTCGAATCACGCTCCGGCACAACCCTCATCCACGAGCATTTCGGGAAAATGCGCGTTACTCTTCGCGAACGCCGTACTCGACTTTCCCTCCTCGTGTCACGACCTCGAAAGCGACAAAGCAGCTCGTCGCCCGCTTACCTTGGGCCTTTCTCGCCCATACCACCATCTGCTACCGCGCTTATATGACACGCTCACTTCTTTCGGACCTGATACGCGTGGACGGCCCCCGGTGGACGCCAATTCATTACCGACGGGACTTCGTCGTGGGGGATAGGGTGGATGTGGAAGAAGGCCCTGGGTCGGAGCCAGCGTTTGCTGGCGGTGATTTGGAGTGCCGGGACGGCGGTTGTGTGGTTCCCGGAGTCGCGGCTGACGATGCCCGCCATCCTCGTTGCCAATTTAGTCTACTGCCGAAAAGGCCCTTCACGTACTAGTACATACCTCGGGCGTCGGGTGGACAGAGCGATATCCGTTGGTTCTTGTGATGATGCTAGAAAGAATCTCCCTTCTTGAATGTTCCACGAACACCACACTACTCAGTACCTTCACTAACGTGTCATTCTCCAACGCGATGGGCGGCTATTTATCGGCCGACTTCATCGTGCCAGTGGGGCGTAGCGTCAAGCTCTAGGTCGGGTGTAGGGCGCAGTCCACGTGCTGCGAATGGCGGGGAGAGTGTCTGGGGCGCTGCTTTGGTGGACATTTGCCGCGAGTGCCGCTTATTCGTCACCACGCAAGGCTGTAAATATGTGTGTAACGGGGATAGTTACACATTTATAGCCCTAGGGAGATTCCCGAGGACACGTTCAATGCGCCGGGCCGTTCATCGGTCTCAAACAAGCCGTCGCCGATGCGGAGTAAGTCTGGTGAATGTTTGTAGAAGTTACTAGAATAGGGTGCTGTAAGTTGATCTGGTTTACAAACCAGTTAGAAACATGTTTTTAAAAACAGTGTTAGTTTTTAATTCCTGGAGGCAGGAGGTGTTTGTAAACAGCCATGTGTGACATTATATCACATCAGTCACACAATCAACACTACCAAATATAGTAATTTCCTTCTGGATAGTAGAGACCTAGTAGTTGAGATAGAAAATACTATTGCTATGAAGGGGCAGTCTAATGATACAATAATGATAGGGTGGTATGCCATAGAAGTGGTACTACTGAATAATTATTATTGACACAAAGGTATATTAAGTAGTCCCCCCTTGTTTCAAAAACTGTTTATAAACACCCCTGTTTTTAAAAACTGTTAGAAACACCTGTAAGTATTGGCTGGGGAATTACTTACAGCACCCTATACTAGAAGATTCGGCAGCAGTATAAGTACTTGTACCAAACGCGCATGGCGTCTTTCCTTGCTCATTTCCGCTCTAAAGCATATCGGTAAATAACGACATCGGCCCCGATTCAAAAGCGACGTGATGTTCCTCACGTGCGCGTGACACTCATGTCGTCGTACGGTAAGGTCAAGCTGGCCATCAGGTGACAAAGTTTCTGGCAGCCAGAGCTGCAGCTAGGAATCATCTACTTTCTTTGAAATATTTTGTATTAAATGTAAAATATATGACTAACTTACATCTCGGTATCTTTGTATCCAGGCACCAAGCTCACTGCATCCGCTCTCGTATGCGATTCGACACTCTGCACCTGCCAGCTCAGACGGTAACGCACGTGCTAAGCCCACAGCAGACAAGCGCGGCCACCAACAAGCTGCTAGGTCAATCGTGTGCCTGCGCAGAGGTGCTGCATATTTCATTGACTTACCTGATACTACAGGTCCTACTCTAAAAGGCCCAGGCACATGCATGGAGAGTAAATAGATGACGATGAATAAATTATATTATTTAAAATATTCTGACTTATATGTCACCAGCTGACAAATATTCTTTACATCGGCTGTGATTCTGCAGTGTATGGTAACTCGGTCCCCAAGGGGCCTTACGGTACGGTTACGGCGCCGTATTACGGCGGGCCATACACTGTATATTACGGCGACGGCCTACAGCCCTAATGGTAGCCAGCTGGCTATCCAGCTGGACCTCCCAGCTGGTGGGAAGCTGGAATCCATCATTACAGCTGGGAAAATACCTGAGTTCAGCTGAGTTCTTCAGCTGGGCCACAGCTATAGGCCAATTGGTGGTGTAGCCTAGGAAAACCAAAAATATATAGGGATGAGCACGGGTCCGGCTGACCCACGCGGGTTGGCGGGTTTGAGCCGTGCGGGTACGGATCCGGGTCAGCTGCAGCTTCACTTGTGCCTGCTCAGTCTAGCTGGCTTTTGGGGATTGTCTGTCGGCTTGCCTGTTGGACCTTTACCGAGGGGTCCCGCGTTCAATTCTGCCTCTTCCCTCTTTTTCCTCGGTATTATTTGGCGCCAAATTCTCCCTCCACCTTGCAACCCGGCGGGTGACCCGTACCCGGAGCCGCGGGTCACAGATCAGTGGCTGTGCAGATCTGGGTCCGAGTCAGCCTCCGGACACCCGTGGGTTGGCCCGTGCTCATCCGTAATTTAAATATAACTACCTAAAAACCCAGGGTGACCAACCACCCACCCTCCGGTCAGATTATCACACCATGATGGTGTACTGTACTATTTCATTCAATTCTGCGGGACTTGCGACATGTGTTGCAGAAATATACAATTCAGCCAAGGTGTGAACTGGACTGAACCGGACTCGGCCATGGCTACTAGGATTAGCTCTGCAACGAGGGCTGGGTATCAGCCTGTGTGACCTCCTGCTTCATGTACCCCTGCTTCATGTAGAAGTTCTGCTCACTGTAGGCACAGAAATTACCATTTTGGGACAGTTTGGGATCAAAGAAACTTTCTGTGAGCAAGAAAATTTTCAGCCCAAAAAAGTCAATGTGATTATGTGACCGTGCCACCATGGCAGGACTAATTGATTAAAATAGTACAGTACCCTAGAAGACATATATCACTGGTTCTCTTATTATGCTGGTGTCATATCCGTGCATCCGTTGACGAGCCTCGTCATGAGAGTCACATGATCGTGGAGCTTAGTCAGCATTCATATCCGGTAGTGGGCTTAGTTGAGTGTTTCATTGTGATTTCTCTCCCTGTGTTCCTGCTCCTTTCTGTAGTTTCTGTAGTTCCTGTTCCTTTCTCCTAGTTCCTAGTTCCTGGTTCCTCTCTCCTAGCTCCTAGTTAGTAGTCTATAAAAGCCTGTTCATTAGCTAGTTTCCATATCATATCATAGTTTTCCCCCAGCAGAGTTTTCCTCAGAGTTCAAAGTCTTTCCTCTTCTTCTCCCTCTCTGGTTGTGCTGTAGCCTTTGGTTGCAGTTAGAGCAGTTTGAAGGGCTCTTGCTTTTCTTGTTCTTTCTCACACCAGTGAGAAAGCTTGTCACCGTCAAGAGCCGCGGCCCGCGGGCCGGTCACAGTCCGCCGGGCTCCGGCCCGATCCGATCCGGTCGCTCCAGCGACCTTGTACTCTGTATGTCTTTTGCCTTGTTACTTATATCTCCGTATGTCCTTATGCTTGTTACTTTCCATATGCACTCCGTACCTTGTACTTACTTATGGTCTTCCCTTTCTACTTACTCGTAGTATTTAAGCAGCTAAAGTAGCTACGGTACTTTAGCTTGATTATAAACGTTACTTGCACTCCTCCTCTGTGCGGAACGACTCCGACAACTCTCCTCTCTTCTCTTGTCCTTCAACCGGACTTCACTCCGCTCGCGGACCTTGTCCGCTCCGACTCCGCTCCGGTCCGGTTGGTCTTGTGTTCTTTCATGTC